ATGTTACATGAGCTATGGCTTTTTGCTAATAATGCCTAGATAATCAGGTATCGAGGCTAGTATCTTGCCATAGGTTCAATTTTATTTGAAGGCATGACTGTTTATGTATATTGAATTCATCATGAAAGCTAAAATCAAAACCGAGCATACTTTTATTAAAATAATTTTATTCGTAAAACTTGTGTTTATATAACTACTGATTAGAATTAGTAAGTAGTTGAATTATAAACCTTGAATAATTGTGACAGCCAATCATCAAAAAAAAACATCGAACATTTACAAATAACTAACGACATTTTGAATTGATAGCTATATGTACACACAAGTATTCATTAAAACAGTTGATTAAGTATATGAACTAAGCTTGTTTAAACAACGATTGAAAACATGAACCGATTGATGTTAGATCACCGTTGGAAACCTGGGAGCACTGGACGGTCGTTTCGTCCTATTATGGGACTCCTCAGCAGTGCGCATCCACGATCCCGCTCGTGGGATTCGAACCCAGGGCTTTCAGTCTCTCGCATGAATGCTTAGCCTACTGGAACACTGAGCCGGCATCCAATGGTGTTAGTGTCTAATATCAACCAATCCCACAATAGGACGAAACGGCCGTAAATTGCTTTCAGGTTTCCAACGGTGGTCTAACATCAATCGGTTCATAATCTCAATCAAATAATTAATAATTCCCACAACCCCTACACTGGTAACCATTGAAAAACAGGAAAAACTGGATTAATGTCTCGTCCTAATACACGACTCCTTGGTATCAACCACTTATTATCTCACTTAAGAACAAACCGAGGACTATCAGATCACACTGCAAGCGTTCAAGCCTTTGAAGCAGTAAGTCAGAATTCGGTGGTATGAATGTTCAACTTCAATCAATTCATGATATAGTGCGATCATCTTCTATTGAGTTAGATTGATAATTATCCACCACCGGTGAAGTTATGGATGGACATTGGTGAGGTATTCTATATTATAACGGAAGAACTCTCCAATGTTTCTTGTTTTCCAATAGTTATTGAACTAAGATTAGTCCGTTCTGTATATTATAAAAATTAAAAATTTCCACTAACCCCTGTTGACAAAATTACAAGACAAAAATGTTACATGATATTATCGGAGCAGTGCCCTGATAATTAAAACCATCGACTTTTAAACACTAAGCCTTATATTCGGACCTCTCGCAAACCATTTTGACCTAAACAGACAGGTAGTATTGTAGTGAACGAGAACACAAGTGGGGACAATCTTATGTATTTCAGCACGAAATTACAGATCTTAGTAAAATCTGAGAACCATACAGTAAATTCTTCATTTGCAAAATGCCAATCAATCGTCTCAGACTTCACTGTTCTTTCATTTCCACAGCAATCATTCTCTGTTCTCGGTCTTTTTTCTTCGATCTTCTTAACCTTTGCCACCAGATATTTCACTTTCGATTGATAATACATACTACTTATATCTGTCGACATCAGTAGCGCACACCATAGCATCACTGACCCTTACACTCAGAATATGACTCTAAACCAAGTACAAATATTTGTAAAAGTTAATTCAGTTGCACTCAGATTGTTTCGAGTATTTGTTGAGTAGATACTGTTATTATGGCAACCTCAGTTAACGGACTCAAAACGTCATACTGATAGTTTTACTCACGAAACAGCTTTCTAATCACTCGCTAGTCAATGGACGGAATACGTGGTTTATTGAAGCTGTCATCAAATAGACAAAATATTCAATCAGGATCATCTGGTATAAAACTTAATAATTACAGTGATTAACGATGAAAGTGCTGGTGACAAAGTACCCAGCAATTATTTACTCCTGTACATCATAACACCAAGAATATTGACTCAATAACAAGACATGTAAAATAATAGAAATCTTAGTTGTGATCGTTGTAAAAATTAGACGACATTTTTAAACTCGTCAATCACAAACCAACCATGATGGTTCCAAGATAAATGGTTGAAAAGCAGATTTAATTAAATTAAGGAACAAATACCCTTGTACACGTAATCCGCAGCGTGTTCAAACGTCAAGATTACCGTATATAATATATATATATATTCTTCATAAGAAAATTTAGCCAAATCTTGACTAATAGCATGCACTCATTAGTGTCTCTTGCTTATCATTTGATCATGAACTGATATGTCTGATGAGACCAATCTAGTACCTTTCCTTCCTAAATATGTCTGCTTTTTGGGTTCAACTGCAGGAACTGCGATGAAGGGGGATGCATCAAAGACTAATGTTATGCTTGTCCAATCTGTTGGTGCTGGTCAAATTCTGTCGACCAGGTTTTAATATGGTCACTAATTTAGAAGAATAGTCAATTCCCGTCACGATTACAGATATTCCCTTTTGACAAGTGTCAACTAGTATAAAACCCAAGATCATTCAGGCTTTCTTGTTGACTACCTCGAAGCATCCAACACAGAAATCAAGCCTACAATAAGCCGTTCATAAAAAATATCGGAATAATACTTAATATTTACCATTTTTCAGCCTTCCTCAAATCATAGTCTCTGACTATTAAGTTACTATAATGTTGCAGTTAACCCCCGTTGATATTTACTGTTCAACATAACATTAAAATCCAAGAGAAACCTTGTATAACCAGTTATTCCATCCTATATCTCTAATGCTACGCGATATTCGGTCAATTGTTTCATAAAACTGAACACTACCATTTGACTATTCAGTAGTAATGTTATCCATTCTTCAGTGATGCAAAGATTCTGAATAGATAAAATCTATTTTCCAACAAAAGTAATAAAACCTGGCAGAGTAGAATGATTTTTAGAAGGCTTATTATCAGTTTTCCAATCTTGAAATAGTCTAAATTTTGTTGAATAACTTCATTTAACTAATTACAGATATATTCATAGGAAAGATGTTTTTCTGGATCCTTCTTATAAGCAATGGTCTACCAGGAATCTTGGTGCTTATGTAGTTATACCATATGATTGAGCTTTACTGTCCATGTTGTAAAGAATCTGTTTGATATTTGGTTCTTTTAAGAACTAATGTAAAACTTCCTTCTTACTGGGTATATACTCATAGTTAATAATTTTATAGAAAATTCTTCATAGTCAACAAAATATTGATTATGAAATTCGTTGAAGAGTTAAAAAGATAAAAATTCTAAAACGGAAGTCATTAATGGAAATCATTATTTCTTGTACAGTTTTAATCTCATTATATCGATTTGTAATCGATATACAAAATTG